TATCATTTTGATGGTATCTGGGTTATCTTTTCCATCCATATTGGATTTACTTAGAGTAAAGCAAAAAATATTGTTGCTTTTATTTCTAGTTGTCCATTTTCAGCCAGTCGGTCATAAAAAGAGAGGAAACATAGAGCCCTTCAAATGTCTTCACACCCCTTAAACTATTTCATATTTTGCCCCAAAACGATCACAAACATGTTCTGTTTCATGACTTCATGAAGCATTGTCACACCCCTCCTTATTAGGGGCTCCCCTACCTGGATCTTTGTAACTCCTCCAAAGTTACCCACTGACTGACTAAGGATATTGTTTTATTTTAACCTTGAACTATTTTAAACCTTTAAACTTCTCTATAACTTCATGCCTGACCTGCCTGGTCTTTTTTTGCTTGGTATATTTAAACTAAGATGAGATTATTCACAAATGATTTTTTATTTTTATTTTTTAATAATTTTTAACTAGTAAAATGCCCTCTGGAAGCAATTACTATATTTTTTATTTACAACAATCAGAGTGATGAAACCTAAATACAGCACTTAATCTTTTTTTCCAACCAGATCGCAGTTTTGTTCTAGGTTTTGTGGGTCTGCCACATTAAAAGCTATTAAAATACTTAAAGAAATCATCCAACAATATTATTAAAAGCTGTCAGACGGAATATGTGAATATTTTTACATGATACTGTTAGAAGTTATGAAGGATAATCTAAATGAGCAACACAGATTTTTTTTTTTTTCTGCTAAGGGCTGTGTGACGCTTGTGATGCTTTTCTGTCCCCTTACCATGGACGCAGGTGTGAAATCTTTGACGTAAAATACTCCATGACTTTTTTTTCCCAAGAAATCAAAGCATAAACATTCCCGTTTGTACGCGGCTTGTATAAATAGAGAACAGAAGTACCAACAGCTCTCCTCTAATCAGCTGCTGAGAGATGGTGAGCATATGTTACGATAAAGATTAAACATCAGCAATAAACAAGCTTATTGTCTCCATAAGTGGGATAGTAAACGTCTGTCTGTGTGTTTGTGCTCGTTAGCTCTTTAATGAAATAATAAATGGGGAACGGGCCGGGCTTCCTCTTGTGTGGAACCGAATGAGGACGAGAAGCTAATCATGATGAAACAGACACTTAATATCACTGGTGCAAATGAACCCCACCTGCCAACGCTCGCAGCACATAAACAGCATAAACGCCCTCCCCTCTTATTTCCATCTGTAGCTCAATCTCCTTTTTTAATCTGCAGCATCGTTACAAGGCAACACGTCCGCGTCTCTTTATCCCTGTCGATCTTGTTAAAGCGTGACATGTCCTCTTCTCCACGCAAATTACCGCAGGCGAAGAGCAATACCACCGCATCAGCTTATAACCACAGCTGAGTGTGTGTGTGTGGGAAGGGAACAAGAGATGGAACATCATTGATTTATCGTTAACAGAGGACAACAGCTCCCCGTCAGCTTCTCTGGTTGCCGTAACAAACGATCCGTGCGCTCGGACCCGCTTTATTGTAGCTCAGGCAGTAACCTTTTCAGCTGCTGACCCAGAACGTTGGGAGGGGCTGTCTGCTTCTGTGTGTGTGTGTAAGTGGAGAGCCAAACAGAGGGGGGAGACTTCGATGTCAAACATATGTCCCCAAGAGTCCGTAGACGGGGAGGTGTCAACAGGGATGGTGGAGGGGGGGGAGGAAGAGCATAGAAGCAGGACGGTGAAGCATCCTTTTAGGCCTGCAGTAAAAAAACTGAGTGAAATTACGTTTTACATCGCAGTCACTGATGCCACATTTCCAAAACTAGTGGTTAATAAAAATAAAAATTAGTGTCTGGGAGAACGCATAAGCAGTGAAGAGAAGGAGAGAGACACAAAGAAACTAAATCCAGTCCCTTTTCTTAATTAGTTACTAGACAGATAATAAAACTGTGGTAATGGCAGAATGAAAGCCAGGTGGAAAAAGGGAGGGCGGGCTGCTGGCTTTAAGGACCTATGATGGTTTAATCGTCATATTGAGAGCAGAATGGAGTTACAGGCCTGTAAGTAACAATAAACTAAAGCAGCGAGGACTTGATGTGGCCGACTTTACAGTGGCCTTTAAATCGGTAATTTACAAAAGCTGCACTCGGCTGGCACACTGAATGCCCAAAACAGGCGCTACGGTTACACCCTCACTGCTGTAATGGTTGGCACTTAATTTCTCTGTGCTTTCTTTTCCTATGTTTGGTCCCTTTCTTTGTGTCAGCTTTTTGCCACTCATTATCGTAGCCCAGAGATTAGTCCTGATGCCTGCTAAAGTTCTGTTGCTGCATAGTGGGGAGCACAGCGAATGGTTTGTGGCTGCAAGGTTTACGGCTCCCCTGTGCTGCTTTACCACTTCTCCTCCTCCACTTTCTTGGAAAAAAAGAGATAATGAAAGATAGTTCTGGTGGCGGACATCAATACTGCATTAGCCAGCATTACGAAGGCTTCAGCTATTAACACTGAGGAATGGTCAGAGCCTGGCTTAAGGTTCAGCTGGGGTCACCAGAAGAGCAATTTTTACTCGCTTTGTTTCTCATAGCCTTGAAAATCCTTTAAAAAAAAAAAAAGTTAATTTGTTTATTTCTCTTTATAGATTTCCACACTTATTTATTTCAACTGTCCGTATGTCTGTGTGTAGCACCTTATTACCAAAGCCAATTCATTGTATGTGTAAAATAGTACAATAAAGCTTTTTCTAATGTCAGATGTTTGAAAATTATTCTTTTGGGCTGTTTTTTATTTTTAAAGCTTGCAAACAATACTATTACCCATCTTCATGCCACATCTATTTTTCCAGGTTAGCTTTGGCATCAAAAATCTTAAGGTGATGCACATAAATAAGTACCAATATCTAACAAATACCCTCATGATGTGTTTTTTATTGTAGGAACAATGAAAAACATATAACATTATGGTAAAATCTGTAGCTTTACATCGTCATACTAAGAATCAAGCAAATAAACCAGGTCATGTGTGCCACACTCACATTCAAAATAATACCAAACTATTTGATAAAGATTATTGCACAGTTCACAAGTTCAGAACAATATATATCTATAACATTTTTTCAGCTTGCAAGCTAATTATATACATGTCACTAAAAGCTACCGACCATGATAAACAAATCTAGATTTAGTTATAATTATATTGAATTTTTTTTTTAATGCTCTGTTTTACTGAAGAAGCACATATAAACACAAGAGAACATTTCATGTTTTTTGTCTTTACAAAATAGGAAAAAAAAATAGTATTGTCATCTCCAGCGATCTTCATTTAAAAAGCAATTTCACATAAAATCGGGTGTGTAGGTTTCACATGTTCTTTTCATTTTGACCAAAATTTGATACATTTTTAGTCCTGAAAACACTTTAATAAAATTCTTCTGCAATGTTGATCTGGTTCTTAGATGTAGGTTGTTTATTCTTGAGCCATTCTCTGGTAATGGCCTTTTCACTGCTCATAAAATGCATTTTCATTTCCTGTCTCTATTGGTAAGGACATCTGGTTCTACATTATCACGATACAAGGCTTCAAGGGAAGACAACTGAGAACCATTTTTTTTCCATGTTGAGGAATTCCTACCCAATAGGAAAATATTTTCCCGGCAGAATTAACGTCAGATATTTCAGCAAGTTGAAAATCAGTATAATTTCACACATGTGCCCAGTTCTCTTCAGCTACTATTTTTAAACAACAATTCTATTCTCTTACCATTTTAATTCAACATATTTCCTCTCCTTTACTCCACAGCGGGCCTTTGCATGTTAGAGGTCATTTTGGAAAGGGACACTTATTTTATTAGTGACATAACTGCGTGCATTAGTTCTTAGTTAAATTAAGATATTTCAAAATTATCATTAAAATTTCAAAATTATCATTAAAATAAAGCAAGACCTGCAGGTATCTGAAAAAATATTAAGGCTTCAACCCATGTTTTTGCTATATGTTGAACGCTGTTAGTGTTCTTTATTCTTCCATTTCTTATACAGGTTTTAAAAAAGATTTGGTGGCTGTGGCACAATGTAAACAGCTGTTTTCCTGCTGTTGAAAAATGTAAGATTTAACTAATAAAATGTAGCTACATCTACAGTTAGATATTTGTGCCTGATAATGAAACAAAGAATGCATAGAATAGAATAAAAAAAGATTTATCCCACAGTGAAGAAATTCAGTAGAAAGTGTTTTCCTGCATCCTCCATTGAAAATTAAACTCTTGTTCACCATATAACAGCCAACAAGACCAATTTTTACACTTTACAACAACCATCCGTAGGCCTTTAAAAGATAAAAAAAACTTTTAAAAACTGACAGTCTACTGCACTTGAATTGCTTCGTTAATGCATGTTAAACAACACAAATCCAGCATTTTTTTGTCATGTTCCCACTGAATGATTTTTATTGAATAAAATTAGGCGGAGTAGCTGCTAACAACAAATCTAAACCACACTTCTATATGATTTTTATTAATCTTACAATCAATCAACACTACCCTTGTAAGTAACTAGGAGATTGCCATTGAAATCATAGTCACAAAACAATCATTTTTATAAAACTAAATGAATTGGTTTGATTTGGTGATGCAGGCACCAAACAGTTACTCTGAAAGATAACATAACATAACAAAAAATTGCAGTTGTTTAAATCTTTAAACCGTTTTTCAATCCTGGGATTATTTGTAGCAGTGATCTTCCCGTGTAAAACTTCAACTAACAACAAAACTTTAGTTAAATCATTTTGATACTTCATATGGACACATTGATCTTGGCTCTTAATACAACTTTCAGCCTGTAGGACCAAGTGGTCTGAGTTATACTAAATGGAGTCACCAAAAAGAGTTATCTGCTGCATGTGAAATATTAATGTCTTTTGAATTTGCAATTTTTATTTTATAAGCTCTGAATTATTTTAGCCATTTTAGAATGGCTAGAATGACAGAATTTAAATTCAACTTACGCTAACAATTTCTATCTTGTCTGTGTTGTTTTAGACTGGGTTTGGACCCCAAGCTACTCGCAAAGATCCTTAACATGTCATCGGGTCGATGCTGGTCCAGCGACTCATACAACCCCGTCCCTGGAGTAATGGAGGGTGTCCCCTCAGCCAACAACTACCAGGGTGGCTATGGAACCACTCTAATGGCCAAGGTATTCCCTTTCTTTTTTAGTTTTGTTTGCAGATGTTTTTGTTACAGCTGCATCAAATTTAAGTTCTACTCCCATATCATTTGTCTTCTTGGAGCTTTTCTTTAGCTTTTTGAAAGTGATTTTGGAATCAAAGAAATTTGAAAAGCTTGCAGAATGTCTGACGAATTTTTCCAAGATTGGTGAGATTTATCTTGAACTAAGGTCTAGCTAAACATGCATCTAATTGTTTATAGCATTAGGCTTGGTACTTCTCCAGTCTACAATATGTAACCATTCCTTTGGCCAGTGTCCCTCTCAGGTGATTTTATATTGGACAGTAGTGTTTTAACTCAGCCCACTGTTGTTAGAATCAACATCACATGCCCACAGCCAGAGTCTACTGTAAGTCATTGATCTCTGATGTGTTCAAAAGAAGTTGGATCTCCATGTGAGAAGCATTATCTACCTCTTCATTCAGGTCATATTGGCAGTATTGTCGGTGACTCTGAGATCCCCAGATACCACCTCTAGCTCCTCTGAGGGAAGCCAAAGGTTTTCCACACCAGCCGATAGACATGGTCCCTTTCATGTGTTTCTTTATTGGTCCTCTAGCCCTCCTTCTGGTGGGACATGCCTAGGCGTCCTATCAAAGTCCGATAGACATCACACCTGACTCCGTTATCAGCCCACAGACAATAGTCAGATGTGATTCACCCAAAACGATGCAAACTCAACGGCAGTTCGCACTTCTCACTTTCATTCAAAGGAAACCCAATGCCATGAGCCGTATTCTGTAAAAGGAACATCAGCATCCAACTTCCACCTCTGTGTACTACAAGCACACTGACTGTGATTACCTTGGATCAGACCCACCTGCTGGCTAATCCGGACCCAACCTGAAAACATTAAAACATTTATAAATTACTGCATGTTGTCCGACGACGGTGTCTAACTTCACTTGCACTGCTTCTCCTGTTAATATAGTAAAGCCTTTGGGAGCACCCAGGACCAGGCTACACGTGATACAAATTAGCCAATGAGCTGTATCAGTCAGGGTCACTGCGGCGAGCCACTTTTAGACACAGCAGGCAAACCTTTAGCAAGCTGGACGACAGGAAAGAAGGAGAAGACGATGAGAAAGAGAAAGCAAAAGAAAGTGTGGACTGCTGGAAGAACTGTGGTGAACTGGTGAAAGTGAAATGGCATGCACAAAGGTGACCCTGTACAATTTGAGTATGTTTGGCTCAACCTACTGCTGTGAAGCAGGATTCCCAACCATTACCATAATAAAAAAATAGTATTAATCCAGGCTCACAAATGAGCACATTAATATGTGCTTGAGAATGGCTTTGTCGCCATTCAAACCCAGATTTAAAGACTTTCAGGGCAGCATAAAGCCCATTTCTCTCATTAAGCCATAATAAAAAACTGTCTATTCAAGTAAATCAGTAAATTGTCTACAACTGAATAATAGTTGTTCTCTGCTTTAAAAAACACGTTAGATTTTGAAATGAAAAAAAAAAATGTAAATATTTTCTTTGTTAAACATTCAATATATAACATGGATGCATAAACACCTGCTTTTTATTTCAGTGTTAAATTCTGTTTAAAGTAACAGATTATAATAAAAAATGTCTCCGGACCTTTACTGGTTGATGATTTTCTTTATTCAGACCCCGCTGATTTTTAGTTGGTTACCCCTGCCTTAGATGTTCACCAGATAGAAAAAGAAAATTGACTTTTTTTTGTCCAGACATCGCCTTAACACACACTCGCTATCATACTCATTGAATAAGAATATTAGTTGAAATAAAGAATATTATTTTAGTAACTCAATTTGCTAAGTTTCCAAGCATAAATTTTGCTGAAGAGAAAAAAAAATTAACTGATCCGTTTTCTTCCCTCTTACTACCCATGTCCTTCTTTCTTTTTAGCATCTATACAAATTCAGCCCACTACTATTTTCTCTTTTTTTTAATTTCAGGGTTGTGGGACGTTCCTATGTCCCCTTGTTATGTAGAAAATCAGACTAACCTAGTGAGACGTTGCACTGAGCCCCCTGCAGTCAGAGGGGGCAGTTAGGCACCAGTGCAGCAACCATGCTGCATTTTATGAGGTAGAAAAATTACTCTGACCAGCGGTCAGTTTATTTTGACAGACAAGTCATTTGGAAATGTTTTCAAACATCCTTATAGTCATCCTACACCTGCCTTAAAAAGTTGCACTTTATCTGCTGCCAAGAACATATGTGTTCATATGGTAGGAGAAATGCTGAAGCTAGATATGCACAACTAAACAACCTTACGTGCCTGTATGTGTATAATATGTTTTAACAGTGTTGACTTAAGGTCCTTTAAAAGCTATATCTCTCAAATATGTGCAAATAAGGAGGTAAAGGGGTAAAAAACTCTTATTTCCACAGTTGTTACCCCTAATTTAAGTTAGAGTAATGGCCTAATTACTGCATGATATTGTTATCTGACAGCATATGCACTGGCAGGAGCACTGATCATAAAGATTTACAGTGATGTCCTTAGACATTTTTAGAGATTTTGTTCTCACAGCTATGAAAACAACAAGATTTAACATTAGAATACTGCAATATGAAAGTATTCGCCCCACCTTGAACTTTTCTACTGGTTGGCACTTTTCAGGAGTCACACATAAAGATATATAATTGTAATTTTTCTGTGAAGAATCAACAAGTGGGACACAATCATGAAGTGGAGCTGGATTTGGATGTAATAAGGTTTCGCAATTTTTAAACATACCAAGGAGCACTGTGCAAGCGATAATTTTAAAATGGAAGGAGCATCAAATCACTGCAAATCTACGAAGAATCGGCCGTCCCTCTAAACCTTCAGCTAAAACAAGGAGAAGACTAGATGAACTGCAGAAATCTACACCTGAGGTGGGAGCGTCTGTCCATAGGACAACATTCAGTCGTATACTGCACAAATCTGAAGCATTTTGGAAGAAAACCTGTTGAAGTCTGGAAAAGACCTGAGATCGGGATGAAGATTTATCTTCCAATAAGACAATGATTCAAAACATAAAGCAAAATCTACAATGAAATGGCTAACAAATAAACGTATCCAGGTATAAGCAGCACCATATTCCTTTTAATTCAACTCTTAGATCCATTAGGGCCTTTTTTTTAGGTTGTTCATTTCCTGTTATCTCTAGAAGGGGAATAGTATTTTTCAAAAGTTACCCAAAGATCCCTCTTCAAGCCTTTTTATATACAGTTTCCATACGTTTCAGCTTTTATGCAGATAATAGACTGATTTATAAACTTTCTTCAGAAGAATGATGACATGGATCTTAATGGTTATTCTTAGTACATCTTACCTGTATGTTATCCCTGTATGTATATATGTCTTCCTGACTCTGTTTCTCTTTTCAAATTTGTAGGATCTTGGTTTAGCGCAGAATACTGCTACCAACACAAAGTCATCCATTCCTCTGGGATCCCTAGCCCACCAGATCTACCGAGTTATGTGCTCTCGCGGCTACGCCAACAAGGATTTTTCATCCGTCTTCCAGTTTCTGCGTGAGGAGGAAGCACAGTGAATGGAGGGAGAGCATCGCTAACGGCACAGCTAGACTGTTGCTAAGACCTCGTTACCACAAACCCGTGTTTCTTATCCCAGTGTTCTCAGGAGATACACAGGCCTTCTTTAAAGGAAAAGACGTGCAGGCCAAACAATAGTGTTTTGAATCCTCTCCTCTTGCTGTGAACTTCCTTCCCTTTAAATGGAGAAATGCTACAAGTGATTTCAAAACATTATAAATATACCAAAAGAAAATCTATTGATTAGCTTTACGTGAAAGCAGTGTACAGGAGCTGCAGATTTACATGTATCTATGCAACCTGTGTATCGTTTCCTGGATGGTAGATGAGTGGAATTTGCATGAATGGTAAAGATCCAGCATGTTTGTGTCAACCTTTTTTGTCTGTTACCTGTTTGACGTGGTTTTGAACCTATGGTGATGTAGAAAGAGGGGAAAATGCAAAACAAAACTGTGAATTTGGAGCTGCTGATTGAAATGGAGTTGAAGAGAAAAACACTTTGTACAAGTTATGATTCTGCTTATACCCATTTTATACCAAAGTTGCCCAAACTTGAGGCTCAGTGTTTGCTGATATTCAATCACGTTTATTCATATTATAAAAAAAATGTTACACAATACCTGAGTTATTCTATGAATACACTACATGTTTGTATGTTTTTAGTTCACTTCAATTAAGCTGAGAAAAAAAATCCTTGGATTTTCTTTTTGTTTTTTCCATTTCTGTGCAACATTTCAGGGTCCATTTGATGATATTACAGAATATTTGTACTGAAATCTTATCTTTATTGCATATATCTGCCAATTGAGCCAAGTAAGTATTACTTTATGACCAATAATGTTAAAATTAAAAAATCTCACGGTCCAGAACTTTCTTCAGTGCAGTTTAACTCAACTTTGCATTTCGTTTTTGTCTGCTACATCTGTTTCGTACATCTGAGTAATGTTTCCTTCATGCTGTGAGAATCTGTACATAATTTATATATCATAATGTTGTACAGCATTAGCCATTTTTGTTTTAGTAAAATTTCGTCGTCTCTACAGTTTCATCTGTGAAACATTATTTACGTAACACTGCAACAGAAAAATAAAAATATTTTGTGTATTTCATGTTTCGTTTACATTTTGTGTTTTTTGTATTCATAAGAACAGAGACCTTTACCACAGATATATATTTCAAATTTAATACTTTAAGACAGGGAAAATTGTAAATATTGTCAACCTTTGTGAAACGTTTGATTTATTTATTGGGAATAAATGTATTTAAAAAAATGTGTAATTTTTCTATTTTAATAAAAACCAAAAGAAAAAACTACCAAAATAATGAACAATTAGAACCGTCTAATCATCAAAGGCTGATTTCCACCCAGTCCCACAGCTCAATTAAATCTCTACCACTTCTTGTTTTCTTGGTCTTTTGTGTCTTATTAAGCCATTTTTTCTGCATTTTTAAAGCATAAAGATGAAAACATATCTGCCCAATAAAGAAAATCATTTTTAAAACAGAAATATGGACTTAATGAATGAAATTGTTTATTACATAAGCCTGATCAGATCACATATTCCAATTTAGTAAATGTGACAATCTGACGGCGAGTGAACCTAGTGTTTCAAAAGTAGCTTATAATCACAGTGGAAATGTACTAGCAATTACATTCACATAAGATTGAAAAAGGCCAAGGCTTCTCTAAAACTGTACCTTTTGTTGCTTTTTAAGGTTACAGTGGTATAAACAAAAAAACAGTATCGTGATGAAACATCATAGTGATGGGCAGCCAAGTCTCACTGATGCAACAAAGCATCCAGCAGTAGCTGAATCCTCTAATGCTGAGTGCTTATTTTAGCATTGAACATGGTTCAAAAATGATCGAAGGAGCACAAAATTTAATATTTGCTGTTTACTGGACTCCCACTCTGCCTAGGTTTCGAACCGATCAATCATTATGAGGATGCTCTAAAAAAACAGATCTGATCCATTGGGGACCCACCCTGCACATTGCCTGATTTAGCTGATCAGATCTTGGTGCTCAACCTATGCCAGATAGGGCTGCTATACAGTATATGATTTATACGTTGTTTTTTTTTCCTGCCTAATCCAATTGACCTTTTTCTAGTTTTATTTAAGTACATTTTAAATCACATAATTTATTTCAAAGCTTGCATTTATTCCAGTCATCCAGTGTGGAAGTTGGCCTGAATTGCAAGTGCAACTTATACAACCTATTCATATGTTTGTAAAACTAGGCGTCAGACCCTTTCACTTTAAACAATAAACATATATCGGATTAAATGTTTGCAGGTCATCCTGCTATACAGTGATGTAGTTTATCAGCTTTTGAGTTTACACCTAAGAAGGCACAGTGACGAAAGAGGCCGACCTCAGTCTGAAATACAGGAAACCAAAGAAGTGCAATAAATAGTGAATAAATAATAAATTCAATTAATCAAACCAATTAATCACCAACCCCTAAAGCCCCAACCTTAGAGGTTTTGTTGGGTCCAGAACCAGGTAGGTCCGGTCCAATTTGCCTGGATGTGTAGAACCAACACACTATTTGACAAGTGTTTGTGATACTTTCCTTTACCGATGAATATATTTTACTCCATTGTCATCCACCTCAGAGTTGCTGATCATAGCCCTGAAAGCTTCTCCTCTGTGGGTTGCAGTTATTCATTTATACTCCAAAACTCTTCAGCAGACATGCACATAAAGCTTAATGTCAGCCAAGGAGAAATGGCAACGCTAATCTCAGAATGATGCCCTTATTTCCATCATTACAATGAAGCGAGAGGGAAAAAAAACAAATGTGGTTTTCTTTTATTTTATGCCCTTTTTTTCTGATGTCGAGTGCGTCTTCGACATTTTATGGAGCTGCTGTTGTCTAAAGTGGCAGTCATAGAGTTAGCAGACTGTGGCGAGCCGTTGGTGGCAGGAGTCGTGTTGTGGGCTCATGACTCACACTGTTATTGTTCTTTGGGAAGTTATGCACTTGCCTCAACCGTGTTCTTTGAAAGTTATGGTTTTGCTGTCTCTAATGGAGGGGAATTACTCATGTTAGCTCATGTAGACTCAGTCTCCTTGTGTGATTGCCTTTACCTGATGTCACTTTTTCGGCATTTTTCTTTTTGGCCATCTTGGCTTTTGCAGACAATAGACTTTGGTTTCTCTAAAGAGGAGCTACGCCTCTGGCTAGGTCTACTGAGTTAGGTTGTGTAGTTGATTCATATTTGGGTCTTTTAATTTGGCTGTGTTTTATAGCAAGCTGCTGAGCCGGCGGTTTCCTCATTAAAGGACACATGAAAGCGGGCTGTAAAGGAGAAGTGGTGAAGCCGGTCTCTGCTGACGTCTGAATGGGATGCTAGAGACAGACCGAGTCCTGAACCAGCCGAGCCTCAGAGAGCCTCACCCTCTCAGCCTGGCGGCCAGCGGTGGGACACCAGACACACCACAGTCACTGTGTCGACACCAGGACACAACACCAAACTCTTGTGTCAGCAGGAGTTCAGCAGTTTTCAGATGACTTGTTCCTCTATTTTTGGATAAAGAGTGTGGCTAACTCTTAATAGAGATATTGATAAATCAAAAATGGCAAAACGAAGTGACTAATTTGAATTGTATTTAATTTTATTTATTCACTAAGGTGTCACTATGTCTTTGCCTGCTTATCCTCAGGCATAACGGGTTTTTTAACCTTTTCTCTACCTTTTATAAGTTCCTGGTGCAGTGTTCTATATTTGCTACAAAGGTGTGGTTCCACTATTGATATTATTCAAAACAACCATGTATTTCCAAAGTATAGTTCAGATCTACATTTTAAATCTAGTGGTATGCTTTTACTAAAGTTAGGCTAGCCTTTACACTCACCGGCCACTTTATTAGGTACCCCATGTTAGTAACAAGTTGGACCCCCTTTTGCCTTTAGAACTGCCTCAATTCTTCGTGGCATAGATTCAACAAGGTGCTGGAAGCATTCCTCAGGGAGTTTGGTCCATATTGACCTGATGGCATCACACAGTTGCCGCAGATTTGTCGGCTGCACATCCATGATGC